CTGTTGAACTGACGAGAGACTTCAAATGAGTCATTGATGTAGTAATCATTATCTGCATGTGCTGATTTTAGTGTTGTCGATATTAATGAAGACAAAGCCTGGGTGGCTGAACCTATTGATGCAACTATAGGTCTTACTGAGAGTACAGGTTTGTGAATTTTCGGAAGTGCATAAAATTTGGGAGGGACAGAGTTATAAGTAGTCAAAGTTCTTTTTTGTTCTTGGGTTATTTGTCCAGTGCTGAGAAGTTCCTTAACAATGTCATTACTTTTCTTTTCCACTTTAAGTGTGGGATCTCTATTAATTTCATGATATGATGGGTCATCATTGATGAGATTGTTGCAAAGATCTAAATAGTGTTGTTTAAGCATTATCACTGTAACATTGCCTTTGTCAGATCTTGTAACCATAAGTTCAGGATGTTGTTTTAGAAATGTTCTAGTTTTGTTTAAAAGGTTGTGATAAAAGGAATGTTTTTTATTAAGATTGTTATTATGAGAGTAGTTAGTGATGAGGTTAGTGGAACGAGTTGTGAAAATGTTTGTTTCAGTGTCATCACTTATGGAGGATGCTATTGTGTCTACATCCGCTAGGATTGATCTAATTGGAATGTCATTGTTAACAATCGGCTCTACACTGAACTTAGGCCCTAAGGAAAGAAATTTTAATATGTCATGAGGGATGTCAACGTTACTGAGATTTTTTATCCAATTTTGTTGAGTGTTGAGGAAGGTTTTTCTGGTGTCATTCAACAATCTGTCAAACTTACGAGTGTTAGAGTTTTTTATGTTATGAAAGATTTTATTGTAATGTCTGAGTTGTCTATATTTGAAATTATCAAAAATTAAGGGAGAAGTGGAAGAAATTATGTCACTTTGGAGTGAATTGAGTATGGAATGAAGTTTTTTCAACTGTCTGTGGCAGGAAGATATCTCAAGCGTGAGTAGTTTACTGAAAGCCATTCAATAGAAGATGGGATGAAAAATCGTCTGCACAGGTTAGGTGACAAAATACTCACGCTTGAGATATCTTCCTGCCACAGACAGTTGAAAAAAATTCATTCCATACTCAATTCACTCCAAAGTGACATAATTTCTTCCACTTCTCCCTTAATTTTTGATAATTTCAAATATAGACAACTCAGACATTACAATAAAATCTTTCATAACATAAAAAACTCTAACACTCGTAAGTTTGACAGATTGTTGAATGACACCAGAAAAACCTTCCTCAACACTCAACAAAATTGGATAAAAAATCTCAGTAACGTTGACATCCCTCATGACATATTAAAATTTCTTTCCTTAGGGCTTAAGTTCAGTGTAGAGCCGATTGTTAACAATGACATTCCAATTAGATCAATCATAGCGGATGTAGACACAATAGCATCCTCCATAAGTGATGACACTGAAACAAACATTTTCACAACTCGTTCCACTAACCTCATTACTAACTACTATCATAATAACAATCTTAATAAAAAACATTCCTTTTATCACAACCTTTTAAACAAAACTAGAACATTTCTAAAACAACATCCTGAACTTATGGTTACAAGATCTGACAAAGGCAATGTTACAGTGATAATGCTTAAACAACACTATTTAGATCTTTGCAACAATCTCATCAATGGTGACCCATCATATCATGAAATTAATAGAGATCCCACACTTAAAGTGGAAAAGAAAAGTAATGACATTGTTAAGGAACTTCTCAGCACTGGACAAATAACCCAAGAACAAAAAAGAACTTTGACTACTTGTAACTCTGTCCCTCCCAAATTTTATGCACTTCCGAAAATTCACAAACCTGTACTCTCAGTAAGACCTATAGTTGCATCAATAGGTTCAGCCACCCAGGCTTTGTCTTCATTAATATCGACAACACTAAAATCAGCACATGCAGATAATGATTACTACATCAATGACTCATTTGAAGTCTCTCGTCAGTTCAACAGATTGACAATACCAGCCGATCATATTATCGCCAGTCTTGATGTGGTGTCGCTATTCAGCAACATCTATCTGGATGCATGTACAAGAACTATTAATAAACACTGGAATGAGATAAGTCAACACTGCAACATATCTCTAGAATCTTTCACCAACATTATAACATTCCTTTTTCATAACAATTATTTCTCTTTCAACAACAAAATATATTCTCAAACACATGGTTGTCCTATGGGATCTGTTCTGTCACCAATTTTGGCAGAATATGTCATGGATGATCTGCTTGATACTGTTATTCCGACACTACCCTATAACCTCTTCTTCATAAAAAAATACGTAGATGACATTATTTTATGCCTCCCTTCCATAGGTCTGGATGGTATTGTCAGAGAATTCAACAGCTATGACCCCTACATCCAATTTACCATTGAAAAAGAAGATGAGAACCTGTCTGTCCCCTTTCTTGACACAAGACTCATTCGCACCAACAACAACAGTTTATTGGTAGACTGGTACCAGAAACCTATGGCCTCAGGTCGGTTTCTCAATTTTAGGTCATACCATAAGCTAGGGATTAAAATCAATTTGGTAAAACAGATGAAAACAAGGGTAATCAGCATCTCAGATAATACCTTCCACACCTCAAATTTACGTAAACTATCAAAACTGTTCATCAATAATGGTTATCCGAAGTGTCTGATTAACAAGATCATTTTTAGTTCACCTTAAAATATTTTGCCGAACTCTGGTGATGCAGGTAATAGTCGCACAACCCCTAATAACGGAACTGATGTAATTCCCAATAATAACATCAATCCTAACAGTACAAGCACCAACCCGGACTCCAGACCTGGTTTTGCTGTCCTGCCCCACATCAAGGAACTGACCCCTAAGCTGATCAGATTGTGCAGTCCTTTGAACTTTCGAATTGCTTGCAAATCCGTCCTCACTATAAACTGCATTTTTTCAAAAATGAAAGACAAAGTCCCGCTGCTTGGCTTAACCAACACAGTCTACTCCATCAATTGCAACAACTGCAACCAAATATACATAGGTCAGACCTCCAGATCTCTTAAAGGAAGGATTACATCACACAAAAGTGATGCTAGGCTTCATCCTGAAAGATGCGCTCTAGCATCTCATGTTAACACAACAGGGCATTCTATGAATTACACAAGTATCAAAGTTCTTGATAAAGAAAAACACCTTTCCAAACGTTTATTCCTGGAAATGTCCCACATTTTCATGAATAACAACTGTATCAACAAAAAGACAGATGTTAAACAACTGAGTGTCATTTACTCATATTTGCTAAACTGCGAAAAATTGGAGAACTTACATATCTCCCCAAATTTCAACTCTTCACAACCATAATTAGAATCTGTGTTTTGGCCGATTCCACCAGTAAATTTCATTCCACTCAAAATATAATAATTCTCTCCTCACGATTTATTAATAATTGTTAATTTAAATTCCCATTAATAATAATATAGTTTATTCAACTGCCTCTGGTCGGTTTAACAAATTCTAACATAAAATTCTGAAAATCTCATCATCTGAAGTGATTTGGCAACGTTTGGCACACGCCCACAATTCGTTCCATCTTTCAACACTGACATTAACATCCTTCGGCCTTCTGTCAAAGGGTTTCATGTCACTCATTATTCCATGACCACTAATTTGTGCAATCATCAAGTGGCTTCACGATGTAATGCTCTAATGTTTTTTAAATAATTTTTAATCTGTTTTTAACTTGTTGTTGTCATATTTTATATAATTTTGACCATTGTACAATCTATCCAGCTCTCACCATGTTACTGGATGTTTCCCTCATCCTATACGTAAACAACAATTAGCAACATCCTCACATACTACTGTAAGTTGAGTCAATTTAAATTCATTTTACACCTTTGTTGCTACTGTTATCATTGTAATTGCAGCTCCTGATGATGATGGCAAAGTCCATTGAAAGCTAGAGAGAATTAAAAAAAGTATAAAGAGTCCTCTTTGCTTAAATTTTGTCGAAGTACCCAACAAAAGGCGGAAGCTTTAATTTTTCACCTAACTGGTCTAGACGACAATGACCACGTCTCAAGTTATATATATATATACACCTTTCTCTGATATTCGAATATCATGTATGTATACCTGTATGTGCAATTCTTTTCTTACAAATATAGTGAGTGACAAGAAAAATTAAACACCTACGTATGTTTATAAGGTTTTAATAACTTTTTGCGTATATGTTCAGTGTCTCTTACTAGCAAAATGATTGAATTTTCAGCTTCATTCGTCAACTGGCTGTAGAAGCTGGTTCAATAGTGGGTTGAGGATGCACGATTTCTTATACATCCATTAACATGCCTGGGCTTCGTGACAATAAGGTGGTCGATATCTTGTTGGGGTATCTCATTCCAGGCTAACGCAAGTTCTTGAGTAAGAGCTTTTAAAGTCTGCGGAGGATGTTGCAAATGCAAGAGCCTACGACCTATCATATCCCAGACATGTCCAATTGGAAATAGGTCAGGCGATTATGGTGCCCAAGGTAAATGGTTGATGTGATGTTGATCCATGTAGGCTAACGATGCTCTGGCAATATACTGAATTCTTATAAACATGCGTAGGTGTTAACCTTTTTTTGCAACTCAGTATAGGTTTTATTGTGACTTCTCCTATATCAGCTTGCAATCCACAGGATGAATAGATTATTATTATTATCATCCTGGGTTTTCACAGCTTACGCAAGTAACATCCGGGCCACCTCGAGTGATGTTTATGGGGTGTGGCTCGGGGTGGGAATTAAATGTATCATGATCCGCCTTTAATTTCAATCCTTTTTTATTATCATGAATATTATTATTATTGTTATTATTATCATTTTCTTGCCGCTTGTCTGTCTTCACACGACTAGCGACAGAAACGGAAATCAAACATCAAACAATCAAACACTTTTTCCTGTTTTTTTCTGTTTTGCATATTTTGCATATTCTAAAACTGCCTGTATATTTTCCTTTTCGTCGACCTCTCTACACTCGAAGCCAAACAAACCTGATCACCCCCTGTCTGATCTCCGTAAGGCTCTCGGGTCACACCAGACAATTTCCTAGCGACACGCCGCTCCAGATTGCAAAAATTGATATCGATTTTTCTGCACTCGGATTGCATCAGAGACCTAAGTGGAGTTTGATGAAGCTCTCCTGAAACGACTACTCGAACTTGTGTGTCGAGAAGTGTCAATATGGCGAGTGACCTGTACAACACTGTGCGAAGAACTGCATTCTGCGATTGAAAATGATATTTGAATTCGACACGGATTCCTTTAAATGTGCTTCATAAGAGACGAATGTACGCTTTCCGAAGTTGTATATTGCCGGGGCGTTTCAGTGGTCTTTCTATGCGAAAACCTGACCAAACAAGAAACAAAGTAACGAAGATGAATAAAAATTATCAACTATTTTAAAGCTAATAGGTTTAAGAATACGTTGGTCATAGAATCTGAGCTTTGCTTACACTACACTACCTTTGCCATGTCATACTATTAAACTTTATGTTTGTGGTGTATTATTCGACATTAGTTTTTAACATCAAAATTGGGGAGCTTCTGTATCTTCCGTTGCACTGAATCTTGAAAATATTTTAGCATTACAACAGAGTATAAAATGTATTTGATGTTACAGGAGTTTGCAATTATTGTTTTTTTTTTTTGATGTACACCATGAATTGAACGGATTACGATTTTTAGCTTCACTCCAGTGGTATTATTCAGAGAGGTCTTCAACAAGGTTCCCTCTTGACCCATTCGAAATAAGGGATGTTTGTGAACTTCTGAAGTATTATCCGATCGAGTGTAGTGTCAGCTTTGGCTACCTCTTGCAAACTATTGAAAAATATACTGCCATACTGCCGGGTACGGTTATTCTAATTTTCCATATTTGTCCTTTGAGTGGCCTTAGAATTCTCTTTAAATGCCTTCCTAGAGACTCTGATATCTGATTTGGGCTGAATGATCGTTAAAACCTATATAAAGTATCTGAACTCGAATGCTAGGCTGATTTTATATTTGTCCTTGAAGTGACATTGAAATGACCTTCAAATGCCCATATTGACACTAATTAACCTCTGATTCTGAGTGAACAGTGAAACCTAAATGACATCCGGTTGGGGTCAGCTACTCAGCTTTTCTGAAGATATCCTTGATATGACCTTCAAATCGCCTCATAAAGACAACGTAACCCTAGATTTGAAATCAGCAACCCAAAAAAGACATAGGAATCGTATCTTTTTGGCAATTTCTCAGTGTCTAACACCACTGTAGGTAGTTTGACACAAAGTAGCTGTTATGCCGAGGCTGAAAAAGCTTAATTCGCAAAGCGGAGTACAACATACTGGGGGTAACTGAATCGATCGCCGCACATGCGTCGGACAAAAAGCGAAACATAATCGGGTAGGCGAGGTCTCTATGACAAAATCTGCATCATCTGGTTCAACTGAAGCCTGCAAAGATATATACAGCGCTTTTCTTTAATGTCCCCCTCCCCTTTGATTTTTTGAACACATCAATTCAAAAAATTTAAACTTGAGGTAATGAAATTGTTACGTAGATACCGTATTTTAGAATAAAGGTGACAGATGAAAATGTCGATGGGCGCCATCTTGGAAAAAAAAATTATATGAACCCGGGGATCTTGTAGCACATCATTTTGAAGCTCCTGACGAGTACTTTATAACCCTAGAATACAAAATCAATACTTTTAATTACTACAAAATGGTGGTACATTCAATAATTACCTGAATACATTTACATTTAACTTCTACTACTAATTCGAATAAATACGTTGACTTCAGTTTAGAAGATTCTGGAAATGGTTGCCTTGAACTTCTTGACACAATAACAGCCGGTCCGTAATTTCGCGTCGAACATTTTCAAACATATCAACATAGATATTTCTACAAATATTTGTTATTCTCAGCCGTATATCCAATATTGAAGCAGGTTCAGTTACGTATACGTTTTGCTTCAAATATCCCCATAAAAAAAGGCTAGGGGCCAATTTCACCAACAACAGTCCATTATTCTCAACCTATAGGGTAACAGACCGTCAGATACAGCGAATGAGCTTCAAGCTCCAATCAACAAATTTTAGCAACCAATAGCTATGAAATGTTGAAAACAAAATACTGTCAAAGTATAAGATGACAACTTGTCATTGAAACATCACCAGCTTATTGAATATTAAGAAATTACATATAATTCAGTCAAAATTTTAAGAAATGTTTGATTTTTGAATTCAATTCATGTTTTAATTACTATTGTTGATTTTTTATTTATGTTTATATTATTTTCTTCAATTGATATGTGATACTGGGTGTTTTTTCCTATAAACCTCTTGCAGATAGCCATTAAGCACCTACTTGATGACAGGCTCTACCAAAAGATATTGCTCCTTTCCAAACATTCATTCCTTTACTTGCCGTTCATCAGAACCATTATGGCACCTTAGATTGATATTCCCACAACACCATTCAGGTCTTTTAATATCCATACATCCATAAAGTTGAATATTTTTCGTTGTTCAGGAACTGAACAAACATCCAGACGATATTCACAGCGATTAAGAAATTCCCAAATATATGCCTTAAAGCTGCCAGCAAACCAAAAACCTGCAAAAAAAATTACTTTCTTTTTTCTCGAGTACACATTCTAGGTTATATTTATATTAGACATTATTTGAATACAGCTGATTATTGCATTTCAAGGAGTGACACATGTGTGGGATCTGTCAACTCTTGGTACCAGTCACAAAGCATAATACACTCTGAAGGTTTAACTCGATGCTATTCAATGACAACACGGTGACTTGTGTGGTTATCATCGGCCATTTTGTGAGGGTGTGACAGGGTTGCCAGATTATGCATTATCCTGTTTCACCCTCCTGGTCCCAGTGGAGTAAGTTTATAGGACTATTCGTGACATTTTTCCCAAAATCATTGCACAACACTTGAAAAAATGCAAATGAAAATTTAAAATTATTTCCTCGACGCCGCAATATAGCTCCGTCGGTACCTTGGGTTATACATCTTGACAGTAGGAATGTTCGATACGATCCTATATTCAGAAGTATCAATACATTTCAGTATCGTCATCTTTCGATCCGGACTGCGTCAGAAAGAGTGACTGCCATTAGGCTGCGACATTACCCTGCCAAATCAGACATATCTTTCATCATTTTCAAAGAAATTGTACAAAATCTTCAAATTTGTGAAGTTAGCGACTTTCACTTCATACGTTGTTACCAGACATGCCCAAATCATCAGTTGCTGCCGTGATATTCATCCCGACCACTGCGTCCCCACGGCTAGGCGACCTGTATGTTAAATTTGTATTGATAGGGCAGCGGGTTATGCTATAAATCATATGTCACAGTGTTTGTGCACTGATTGCAACGGATAGACGATACCAAAAATAATTTCATAAATAGGAGATCTTTCCCATTCCGGATCGAACAATCTACCAAAGATGCTTATAATCATGATACCTAGTAAATTTTCACGAAAAAAATTCAAAACGAGCAAATGTAAAAGGTTCTTTTCGCACCCTCCACCACGGGACGTGATTGTCGTTAGACTTGGCAACACTGCGAGTGTCAGATAGATATCCCCGACAGTCAAAAAAGACAAATAGACAATCAATAAAGATTACTAGTTTTTTTGATTTTTGGACTTAAAAGCCATTATCTATTCATAATTTTTTGTATATGTCCATAGTAATTGCATTATGCATTAGGGAGATGTAGGGACTGACACGTCTTACACATATTATCTGTGTTTTAGGATGGAGAGGACATGTTTTTATTGCTATGAAGATATTCATTAACCCATAAATTAATAAATTACTATTATGATGTAAAGGAAGATGAGGAATTGGATGGAATGTATTTTATATTCTATTTTCTTGCAATATACAGACAAATCCACACTATTCAACAGGTATGTAATGATAACTTTCAACATATTGAAGTTGGTAAATTCGAGAGTGCTATGCATTAACAAACGTCTAAATCTGCTGCCAAATTTAACAGCTAGAAAATCGACGTATTAATTAAAGAATTGACCATTTTAAAAATATGTAGTCAGTATCTAGCACTAAAACCGAAAACTAAATAAGAATATTTTAACTGTACAATGATGTTTGTTTTCGTACTGATATTCTTGTCACTGTCAACAAAAAATAACAAACAAGGTTTTAACACTGTTGCTGTGGATACGGCAGGGAATTACAATTATTTGTAGAGATATGCATGTTAGTAGGTTTGTGTTTAAGTAATTATTAAATGTACCACAATTTTGTAGTCGTATATATATACGAGTATATTGAGACGTGCCATCCTCATCAGGAGCTGCAACGATATTGAGAAGATATAGCAACTATTGTGCAAAACGATTTTAAATTAACTTACAGTAGTATGAGAGATTTTTGCTAAATGTTATTAACGTTTAAGTTGAGGGAAACATTTAGTAGCCTGGTGAAAGCTGGATACATGGTACATTCGTTAAAATTAATATAAAATACACACAGCTGTATGTCAGGAACAAATTAAAATGGATTAAAAATATTTATAAACGAAAGTTAAAATTACTTCATGAACCACCTGATGCAGCACAAAATGGTGGGCACAGGATCACAAGTAGGATGAAACATTTGACAGGTGTCAGAAGGTTGGTGGTGTCAGTGTCGATGGATGGAACGGAAATGTATGTAAAGTGTGTGCTATGTTGCCAAATCACTTCAGATGGTGTTATTTGCAAAATATGTTAAATAAGAACTTGTCAACAGACCAGAGGCAGTTGAACAAACTGTATTGTTGATGAGATGGACAATTGAATTAAACAATTATTATTTTATTATGAGTAAAAACAATTATTCAAATTTGAATGAAATGGACATTTTGGAGGGAAAGGCTGGAATAGACCAAAGAACCAGATTCTATTTATGGTTGCGAAAAGCAAAAATTGGACAGATGTGTAAGTGCTCCAACTTTTCACAGTTTATCAAATATCAGTAAATGATGCTCAGTTGCTTAACATCTATTTTCTTATTCATACAGTTGTCATTCATGAAAATGTGGAACAGTTCCAGGAATAAACGTTTGGGTAGGTGCTTTCCTTTATCAAGAACTTTGATACTTGTGTAGTTCATAGAGTGCCCTGTTGTATTGACATGAGATGCCAGAGCACATCTCTCGGGATCAAGCCTAGAATCACTTTTGTGTGATGAAATCCTTCCTTTTAGAGATCTGGAAGTCTGACCTATGTATATTTGGTTGCAATTATTGCAATTGATAGAGTAAACTGTGTTGGTTAAGCCAAGCAACGGGGCTCTGACTTTCATCTTTGAAAAACTACAGTTTATAGTGAGGACGGATTTGCAAGCAATTCGACAGTTCAACGTTCTACATAGTCTGATCCGCCTAGGGGTCAGTTCTTTGATATAGGGTAGGACAGCAAAACCAGATCCGGAATTAGGGATGGCGGTTATATTGTTATTGGAATTGCTGTCGTTGTTGGGAATTATATCAGTTCTGTTATTCGGAGTTGTGATAGTATTACCTGGATTATTAGAATTTGGTAAAATACTGGAAGGAGGGCTGAACAAGATCTTATTAATCAAACACTTCGGATAACCATTGTTGATGAACAGTTTTGATAGCTTCCGTAAATTTGAAGTATGGAAAGTATTATCAGAGATGCTGATTACCCTTGTTTTGATCTGCTTCACCAAGTTGGTTTTAATCCTTAGTTTATGGTATGACCTAAAATTGAGGATACGTCCTGAGGCCATGGGTTTCTGGTACCAGTTTACCAATAAACTATTATTGTTGGTGCGGATGAGTCTTGTGTCTAGAAAAGGTTCTCATCTCCTTTTTCAATGTTAAATTGGATGTAGGGGTCATAGCTGTTGAAATCTTCGACAATACTATCCAAACCTCTGGAGGAAAAGCATAAAATAATGTTATCTACCTATTTTTTTATGAAGAAGAGGTTATAGGGTCGTGTCGGAATAACAGTATCAAGCAGATCGTCCATAACATATTCTGCCAAAATTGGTGATAGAACAGATCCCATAGGACAACCATGTGTCTGAGAATATTTTGTTGTTGAAAGAGAAGTAGTTATTATAAAAGAGAAATGTTATAATGTTGGTGAAAGATTATAGAGATATGTTGCAGTGTTGACTGTTGTCTTATCTCATCCCAGTATCTATTTATAGTTCTAGTACATACATCCAGATAGATATTGCTGAATAGCGACACCACATCAAGACTGGCGATAATGTGATCAGGTGGTATTGACAACCTGTAGAACTGGCGAGAGACATCAAACGAGTCTTTGATGTAGTAATCATTATCACCATGTGCCGATTTTAATGTTTCCGATATTAATGAAGACAAAGCCTGGGTGTCTGAACCTATTTATGCAACTATAGGTCTTACTGAGAGTACAGGTTTATAAGTATTTATCAAGTGCTATTCCTACGTTTTTTTATGCCGTTGTACTATATAGAGAACGTTACTAGAGAGTGTTTTGTGAGCGTAGGAAGTCCATCTACTCGACGCTATTTTTTCCAGTTCAACCCATATAAACAACTAGGACATGCGATTTTCATTGTTCAAGGTGTGATATATCCGTTGAAAAATAGAATTTAACTGAAAGTTCCATGGAAGCTACAAAATATATACTGAATAAGCGCTATACAGCAATGTTCAACTTACATTTTATAGCTTCTAGTATCCAAACAATTTTACGGGCATCCATGCGGAGAGTCGAGGCATATACGAATGGTTTAGTTACATTGTAGAAATTCGTTGAGCAAGCCGAAAATCCATTAGAAGTGAACAGTTGCTCGGGTAATACCGTTAGAGCTGGGAAGAAGGTCCTTCCGTCTGATTTTAAAATAGCGTTAAATCCAGTAAGTGAATTGATTCAATTTTCGCGTTCCTGCAAGGGAAAATTCAATCGCTTTATCCTTGCTGTTCAATGCATCGTTTGTACCGAGCACACATTGAACTTTTCGTATGTTTTTCTTACAGCTTGGTGAGTTTTTAGTGAGGGCTCGGTAGATAACTCCATAATTAGGCATGATATTTACAAAAGCTAATAAAAAGATTGTTCAAAAGTATTTCTGATATTGCGTAGGAGGTGCAGAGTCAGGCTACTTGACGCCATTTCGTCTATGGCTATAGAAGTGCGTGTTCGGGCGTTGTCATGATATGATGTTACGCTTGATGCCAGTGATACGCTTGGCGCCAAGGTGTCAAAAAAAGAGTATATGTGATAATCAGTCTTTATCAAACATTGTTAAGATTTAGCTAAAGAAAACTAAATCAGTACTACAGTGGCCTCTTAAGAACAAAATAAATAATTTATTCTTGTTTCCAACATTTTATAAAAAAAAAGGAGACAACAAAACAAAAGTAACAACTTACGGTCTATTGTGTTACGCCAAGCGTATCACTGGCGCCAAGGCATCAAAATGCTATGTCCTTTACACAACCTGCTGGGCAAGGTGATGCGTTACTACAGTAGGGGGGCCCCCAGATATGCTTATGGTAAGTATGCGCACTGGATGATGAAACATAAACCAGTGATCTTAACCTAATAGATAATGTTACAACAACAAATCGGGTGCTCTATATTCCAGCTGTCCCAGGAACCTGAAGTTTTACATAAATAAACCATACAGCCTAATCCGACCTGCAATCCCTGGAATCACCTGTTGGAGGTCACCTGGTGGTGTCAACCAGTCCTCAGATGCCTTTAATGTAGATGGAAATCTCCCAATCTGAATAATCCCACAATACTAGTGGTGCGCCTATAGCACTTTAAATTGTGAAGATTTCTCTTCTTCAGCTATTTTACAGTACCATATCCGCCTTTGCGTAACAGGTATCGGTACCGAAAATTTGCAATCGCAATTTTTTTTTCCTTGTTCCGCGCTCCTCGCGCCTGACATTTCCACGTCAGTTGACATGCTATCATTCTCGCCTTTAAAAGTTTCAAATGTATAAAATTGTAAACAATGACTAGGGTGGCTTCAGGAGCACTAATTTATGAAAGAGAACAAGCAATTTGACTTCAATAGTGTGAGTTAAGTATCTGCTACTTATTAAATTTTGTTTCAGACTCGTTAGGGCAGGTCCACCAGAAGGGAGCGGTGAAAACAGGAATGAAAATGCTATGTACAATGTATATACCCCCTATACACAATAAATTTTAGCTAGAGTATGATATCCATATATTCTTATCTATCTATTTCGTATCTTATGAACTAGTAAGTAGTAGAGAACCTTCTAATTCGTAAAATCTATGCAGCTATAACTTACAACAAAAAAAGGTCGTATCAATGAAACTGCACACTACTAATTTTCTGATACTGACAGCTTCTCCATTACTACGACAAACAATTTATCAAACAAATTCATTAGACGGGTGACTTCGAAGTTGAGTCATTTATTTTAACAGTGAGTAGATCTGATCAAAAGAAATGTTTTTTCCCATAACATTTTTCTGGTAAAATTAAAGTAACAAAGTTATAGCCCTTTAGAAGTTTGAGTACCGCCCTGTCTCAATAATAATATTATGTGCTCGTGTTTAGCAACAACGGATATAATCCGCCTTATCCGTTCATCGCTTCGGAAACAAAAAAGCGAAAGAATTTGAAACGATGTTTTTACTACAATGTACAACTTTATTCAGTTGTATTCAGTCAATGTAGTCGGTAACGCGTGAGTGAATAGTGGTGTTTGTTGCGTGGCTCAAACGAAATAAAAAATGTCACATGTTTACGAAAATGCTGAACTTGTGGACATGATTCTTATTTACGGGGGGGGGAGTCTTTAGGCGGATCGGTTTCCCAATCGAGTGCAACCAACCCCTCGTGCCTTTGTTAATGTAGTACAAAGGGCTCGTGAATCAGGTGATTTAAGACCTCACAGGGGAGGGCATGCCAGTGCGCCAAGACCGCACGATCAAATACAGGTCCGCACTGAAATACTTGTCGGGAAGATACTTTATAAAACAAGGTAGATAACGTTTTTTTTATTTTTTTTATTTTTACAAACATATTTTGGTTTATCTTCCTTCTACAATCATTATCTGAAAATTAATGACTCAACTTCAAAGTCACCCTGTATAACTGACTGATTTAAATTGTGCACCATTTTTGATACACGCATTTCATTGGGTAGCGCCGTAGTAGTTGTTTAAAGCACATGAAAATATTTCTTCTTCAAAACCTACCAAAAAGTGATGGAAAATGTAATCAAGAGGGCTCAGGTTTGCGCGGCTTCTAGAGGCGGACATCTTCTGATATTATTTTTCATACATATGTAATTTCCAAGTTTCAATAAAATATTAAGATGAAAAAAATTGACGTATTTTATTTCATTTCAAAAATATTCACGATACACTTCTCCGAGAATACATTATTCTTATTGAAGAAAGTAGCTAATAAAATATCATATAAGGTAGATAGACAATGACGCCATATAACATGAAATAACATTAAACATAAAACAGACAATACTTTAACGTGCAAAAATCTCTTTGTAGAAGCAATTTATTCACAACTTTTTTGAAAATCCTCAAATCGTCAATTATTTTGGAAGATCCTGGTAGATGGTTGCATATCTCAAATCCATTATAAATTATAGTGTTTTGTTAGAGCTGACTTGGGGATAGTTAAACGATGGTGATGCCTGAAATTGTACCCTCTAGTCTCAGTTGCTGGTAATTGACTGGCATATTTATTTTTAACCAAGCGTACTAGTTCAACTATAAATACACATCATAGATAAAACCTTGAGCTTTACAAAAACTGTCTTACAGCTATCTCTAAATACAGCTAGAGCTAAGCTTCCTACAGTTTTTTTTTCGGAGAACAAAAACTTGTTCTAGGAGATATATACCACAAAATCCCCAAAATGCAATGCCTTACCTAATATGTGACTTTACCATTGCGTAGTAAGTAATCTTGGCCACTTCAATATCCAGCTCTCATAACAATATTTTACACATTATCATCAAATTTCTAGTCCAAGAAACTTAGTCGATCTTTTATTTTTAATGTTAAAGTTTGACAATATCAAATTGATAAACGCAAATTTGAAGGACGAGATATTTGTTTTATTGGTATTGAAAGATAACAGGTTGGCATCATACCATTCTATTACCTTCAACAAATCAAGAGAAATAGTTTCTTTAAAGTTAGGGGTGTCTCTCCCATGCCACAAGAATAGGTTAATGCTGACTTGAATAATGACGGTGACTAAATCCTTAATGTATAACAGGAATAGAGCAGGGCCTACAACAGATCCCTGAGGGACTCCTGGATGAGCTGTAGCAATACTTTTGTAGCCCCACCATTCACACGTACTCCAAGGTTAAATTGGGTATCAACATTGTTTATATAAAGTCCTGGGGTCCGCGCCATGTCACTTCATCATAGACATCCATCTCTTTGTCTTCAGTAATAATGGAAGAAAATTGGATGCAACTAGCTGCTATAGTCTGCGCCAAAACAAACATTAGCTCTGGAGTATCAGTCAATGCTTAGGAAGAGCTAGAACAAAGTATCCATGGTTCCATGTTAATACCTATCTTGTACGTTAGCTGAAAACCCAGTTACATACCGTCCACTGTCAAAGCTCTATACTACAAATATTTAAAACTGTAATGACTCATACGCGTGATCAACACGTGATCAGAGCTCGATCCCGGCTTCCTTCCAGTACAGCCGTATAGCGTACGACATATGTCGTTTCTGTGGCTTTGCGGTGGTCAACAGCACAGACAGAGATGGAAATAATGGCTGATTGTTCTCCGCCGGTAGAACCAATGAAATCAAAGACGCGCCTCGACCGGCAGACTCATAGGCGTCGGCAACGCATTGGAACGTGTTTCGTTGAGCGATCGCATATTGTGTTTTTTTATAAGAATTGTTGTGTGATTGTCATTGTTATGGTTTCTGTGGTTACTGTTTTGGTTATACTTAACCATGGAGAGTACAAATGGCACAAGTGGAAGTACTGAAATCCAGGGAACAAGTAGACGGCTTCGTAAAGCACTGAAGAGGGACGCGAAAGAAATCGTGCTCAACGTGTTCAATTATCTGAACAGAACTATGTCGCAGGGAGATGCACTCGCGCGACTATGGGATCTCGAAAAGGTGACATGCAGCAATGGTTGCGTGAAAAAGTAATCCCGTTTGACGATTCATGTGTGAAAGCGGAATTGTATGAAAAAATTAAACAGCACAAACCTGCGAACATTAGTTACGTGACTGATGAGATGGCCCGTCAATGTGGTGTCACTGTGCTGCGGTTACCGCCCTACCACTGTGAACTGAACCCAATAGAGCTCATCTGGGCTGAAGTGAAGGGTTATATTGCGCGCCATAACACAACCTTCAAATTACCAGACGTTAAGGTTTTACTTGAGACTTCCATACAGCTAGTAACGCCCGAAGCTTGGCAGAATGCTATCCGTCATGTTGTGAAGGAAGAAACAAAAATGTGGCAGCTTGACCACCACATCGACACCATCATAGAGCCAGTTATAGTCAATTTCAACGAGGAAAGCGATAGCGACAGTTTATTACTGTCAGATGTAAGTGGAAGCGACGATGAATAAAGATAATTCCCAAATTTTTGACTTACAATATGTTTCAAACCCCTCTTTATTAAGCATGTGACAAATCTAGTTCACCCATGTTAAACATTCATACTCCGCCTATGAACAGCCGACTACTGGCAGTTAAGTGATGTTCACGTGAACAGCGATGAGTCATTACAGTTTTAGATAGTTATAGTATAGCTAAAAGTGATGCTAATTTCAAAAAAATATGATAAGAAACGGTATTTGATACATCCTATACCCATGAAACAGCAAAAAGGCATGTCTTTCTGCGTACTGCGAGCGAAATAATAAAAAGGGGCATAATTCAAATGAGAGTAATGGGCCCAGGTGGAAAACACCCCTTTTCTCTGCCTTACCGTTTAATTAAACCGGAACGCTCGCAAGATTCAAATCCTTTTGTTCAAGATGAAAACTGTACGAATGAATTAATGTGATTATGCTTCTGTTCATGAATATGACCCAAGCTATAGAATGGGTAGATTAATACATAAGCCGCTCGAATAGCAGTGGTGTATCTGGTAGTGGTAACAAAGCTAAAACGGATCCGAAACATATTCTGAGGACGGAGAATTTGATGTCAAGTAGGGAAACAAATACAAATGAGTCAAAGGCTTGCCCCATTTGAAGATCAAGCGTAGGTTCTGCGGATGAACTTAAACTACTTATTATCCTTTAGGCAACGATGTCCATGCATAGGATTCGTCAACTTTCATGACTAAAAATAAAATAATATATGAAAATATATAAAGTAAACAAACACACAACTTAAGAGAGGAAATCGACATTTTCTTTCTAGGTGTTGCCTCAGCCATAATAAAACGTGTAAGTTGCAGAAGAATTGCAAAATATTGACCTAGGTGGTTATGAAAATCCAGAGTTATAGTCATGAAGGTTAGATATTAGAGAATAAGCTCATGTGGTGGCCAACATTTTTTCATACTCTTGTGTATACATGTTTAGAGCAGACATTTTTACACGGCCACAGATGAGCCTTAAAGTTCAAAAAATATTTGGTACTAAACTACGCTGAACTGTTTATAAAGTTAGCACGCAAACTGAAGACACAATTATGTCGCAAACTGTCTTAGACTAATTAGCATGTAGCATGTGCTAAATGGCTGCATTATTGATGACTGCTTGGCTTTGTCAAATAAGTAAGTCTCGTAATCCAGTTTCTTTACGAAGAAATGTAATTCCCTGGACCTTTTTTCTAAAAGTATTAATAAAGTATACGTCTGTTTTTGAAATCCCGTACGATGAAAGCGACTGCGAGCCCAAAATTTTGGAAAATAGACTCGAGAAAACGAAAAGACACTGGGCAAATACCAACGAATTGAATCGAACTGAGTATTCTAATTGTTTATAACAGATTTGGTATACCTGCAAAGTTCGCTTGAAATTTGTCATTGTCAAGTATAGTGATATAAAGATCCAGTAAACCAAGAGGCGTCGTAGCGTAATGGGAAAGGTTAACGATTGCAGAACGGCAGGACGGAGGTTCGAATCCACAAAGCACCTTTTTTCTGTTATTTTTTTTTAATTTCGAATAATAAGTGCTTTATAATGGTATGGTTTTCAGCTATAACCTTTCGACTATTAGTAATTAATACTTTTTACGTGTGCTTCCATTCTGTAGGTCTCATAAATACCCAAAAATCTTATTTGAATGGTTTTCTTGTTCCTGTCAACACTTTCGACTCAATCTCAAAAAATACGTTTTCTCGTTCTTTGTTGTCGAATAGAACGATTGATTTTATGTGTCCATATTTAAAATACCCCCTTGAACTACTCGCATCAATAAGACCAGACTCCACAATTAGTTTGCAGTGGTATTTTCGTATAGCATGATTGGACTATTAGCTCAACCGTTTTTAAGATATCTCAAAAAATAAATTATATAATAATAAAATAATAAATCAAAGGTGTCATCATTTTGGAAATATTGCTCCCACAATAGCTCCAAATTTTCGTTATACCAGTTTTACAGTCAGCAAGATGCAAAAGATATCTTGAGGCACTAAAAACACAGCTAAGCCTGTCTGTCATTTTCTGACAACTACAGGGTCTCGTATGAAAGTCAGTCAGTTGGATTTTTCATGCAACATTGTCTGCAGTTCTGGTGGACTATTTAGTAGCTTGCGACTTACCTATTCACGCAAAAAATACGCTAAGTTCGACTGGGTTTTGATGCTGGATGGTCGGCCACTGAAACTAGTTTGTAGACATGGGCATGGAACTTAGGGAAGCTGGAGGCATTTAAAGCCAGTATCTTAGGTTAGGAATGCGACAAGCGATATTCCATCCATATGCATATTATAGAATGGGTCTTTTGGTGATATATTTTTCAATGCAGGTAAATTATTATTTAAATCTATTCCAGCACTGGCGAGCTATGTTTGCAATCACAGACGTTGTAACGTACTATTTACCGTTGTGTACCTTTTCGTCCAACAGTTGTCTCGGTATAATGCAAATTCCATCCTGGAGTAATTCCCTGGAATTTTTGTCGATCGCAAATATCAAATTCGTTTCCCCTATCTGACTGGCAGAAACGGTGTTATTCCGAACCAGCATATTTGTCGTGAATAATTCGATTATTTATGGGCTGGATGGAATACTCGACATATAAATCATCTGATTGGAGTTTTATCCAGGATGACAGATAAACAGTAATTTAAATTTTGATATAGGGCCAAGAAGTGAAGTTAATGCTTAATTTTCGAGAGCAAATCAGATACCGACTTTCCCCTTTTGGATCTTCTTTCGCACAGAAGTTACAGGGTGGATGAACATGTTTGTATAGCAGTGGCTTTAATAAATTTTAATAAATAGTTTACCATATAACGTTCCATTTCTGATATTATGAGTGTTGAAGTAAGTATGCTACCAATAATAGCCATCTCTTTTTCCTTGAGCCTAGTTTAAGCTTTCATTAATACTTATAGCTTCTTCAAGAGGTTACAGTATGTTATGAATGTAAGTAAATAATGATACATTACAGTATAAATCAACGTCAAGTCTTCCAAAATGAGATCTTCTTGGAAATACTGCTAGCATCGTATGCTGACCCTAAATTTAACCTTGACGTAGACTCTGTTATTGACATTGAATGTCATTTCATGTTAATAAATCGATAAATAGTATCTAACCGATGAAATAATATCTCTGACAGATATTCCACACAAGCACATTCTTGTGTTAATGACTTTGAATTTGGCTTTGACCTTAGAGGGTAGACTTTTTTTGAAGGTCCAGACGATATCAGAAGTTTTCCGCCCTACCAGTTTCTGATATCGAAAGCATAGAGTTTCGTTTAGAAAAGTCGACTTGACAATTATTTGACCTAGAAGGTCAAGGCTAAGCTCAAAGTTACCATCAGATGGCGGGGGAAAATCCTACAGCCATGTCTGTGTAGAATATCTGTTCTCCTCACAGTTTTCGGAATTATTTGCTGGATCCGGATTATTTGAACATGCCGAATATGTGGATATTTTAATTAAAAAAATTACTGGTAAACATTTTCTAAATGTTTTGCTGGTTTACATATCTCAGGTAACTAGGTAGCACCAAATTCCATTTTCCTAGTTAGCAAGTTGATGTGCAATGTGCTGCTTAAATAAAAACAAAAGCAGCCCGTTTATATTTCTCAATCTAGAACGCGGAGGAGCAAAGGTGTCAGCATTGGTGTGTGAAATTACACCAGTCCAATACCTATATATATATATATATAGTATATACGTATCGATTCACCTCAAGGCAGTTCAGAGTAGAGGTTGACATGATGCAATTCACAGCTGGAGCGATCCCGTTTGAGTTTGACAAATGCATTGCATTTTATCCTCGGAAATAAAAGTATATGTTTTTGTTGAAACACGAGATTTACAACAAGAAGACATAAAAACTGGTTTTCACTTTACGTATCAAAGATTTCCAGATTATACTCTTCTACAGCTGTGCTTCCTCTAGCCTGGCCGATTTTTATCTGCTTAGAACTAATTTTTTGCTCACTTTGCATGTTTGAGTAATGTGGAAAACGTTTTACATCAATGACAGGGACAAAATCAAGCTATTTGACCTTTACTCAATGTGTGACCTTTTCATAATCTTTTTTGGAAGAGTATGAAAATGTTTGTGTTTCTATGACAGTGATCTCAATGAGGTACCTAACTATACCGAGTGACAAAAAACGTAAACACCTACGTATGTTCATTAGAATTCAAGAATTTTTTACATATCGATTTATCTTGCCATGAACAACAAGTGATAAAATGGTCAGGTTTTTCTGTTAAGTTGTTGTGGTGGCTGCGTGTATTGTTTGGTGATAAAGAAGCATTCAGTTTCCTTACATTTACGGTATCAGTTAAATGTTGAATTTCGTGTAACTTATTGAGAATCCTTTTTGTGATTGCTCAAATTGCCTAGATTGCGTAGAATTTGCCGGGTCTCCAAGCTAAGTGATTTTGAGAGGGGTCGAATTGTCGCGTTGCGTGAAGCCGGTCTACCGATAAGAGAAGTTTCTAGGAAGATCAACTGATCCTTTCGCAGTATACTGCAGTATGAATGAGCGTGGATCTGGACGTCCCAGATGGACCACAGAGCGACAAGACCGCCACTTGAGACTTCTGGCTCTGAGAGACAGATGTAATACTCGAGCCATCGGTAATCAATGGTTTGAAGATCATGGAAAGATGGTTGGTATGCGTACGGTATATCGCCAAAATGCTACAGTTTGGCCTTTTTTCTTATCGCCCACATTGGGTGCTACCTCTCACAGTTTGAACATCGGCGTTTTTAGTGACGAATCCTGCTACTGTCTGGGGATGCACGATGGTCAGGCAGGAGTGAGAAGGCAACGTGGTGCAAGACGTGACCCACAATTTGACAGAGAGCGTTACGTTCACCACACCGTGGCAGTTATGGTATGAGGTGCTATTGCTTATGGTAGCAGATCACCGCTAATTTTCATCAGAGGCAATATGACAGCCCGACGCTGTATTCAGGAAGTAGTGGAGCCTCGTCTTATTCCATACCCAAACACCATCCAAAACCCGATTTTTCAGCAAGACAATGCCAGACCGCTTATTGCCAGAGCGTCGTTAGCCTTCATGGATCCACATCGCATCAACTGTTCACCTTGGCCACCACGGTCGCCTAACCTATCTCCAGTTGAACATGTCTGGAACATGATAGGTCGCAGGCTCTTGAATTTGCAATACGCTCCACAGACTTTAGCAGCTCTTACTCGCGAAGTTACAGTATCCTGGAATGAGATACCCCAACAGGATATCGACGACCACGATTCCCAGGCATGTCAATGAGTGTATAAGGAATCCAGTTGACGAATCAAGCTGAAAATTTAATCATTTTGCCAGAAAGGGACACTGAACATATATGCCAAAAATCATTAAAATAGGATAAAGGTGTTTAGCTTTTTACACGTTGCTAAATAATATTTTGCAGGTGCAGTTGCCACCAGCACTCATGCTTCTTGTTGAGAAATATTACTTTGCATTGTGTTTGTTCGATTTTTATACAGGAAAAGATTAGATGCTCGAATGGTATTTGACAAAACTATTTGATGAGTAACAGATTATTTTGCATACTTTTCTGGTAATCCTTGACTCCATCATTACTTGCTATCAAAGTTATGTAATTTTCGGTGACAGCAGCTGCCAAGTTTTGTCGCTTGTAAACTCAAAAAAACTGCTCACAGGTGCTGTCATATAATTTTTCCATCTAGAAACCATTAATTAAAAATTGCGTGTTTGTAATAAGTAAAAATCAAGACGTCTTTGTAATCCCAACATCCCCTCTCCCCCCGAATTTAATAAGCGATCAAGTCATGAAGTCGAAATGCCGGCTAATAACAGTAATGCATGGAAAGTAACTTGACCATTCTTTAAATGCATTATTTCATATTTTATTACGTATTTGGATCGACCCTTGCTAAAGGAGAAGTGGAATTGCATACTATATCCCCCTTTCACAAAAACGCTCCAGAAAGTGATATCAATCGAGATATTGTATCAGATTTGATCTAGGCTTCGAGTATGGCGCAAATCCTCCTCTTTGGTTAGTGGATTCTGTGCCTATGGTCGCAAACCTTGCAAATGACAAAAATAAGTTTTTCGTGAATATTTTTTCTAGTTTGAGAGACATTTTACAAGAAATCGATTATATTCATTAGATCCATTACCTTAGAAATACCTTCTCATCGATCGAGTTTGTGCCCCAAGCACAATTTTGTGCTGCGTATCGGTAAAATCAGGCCCTGGAGAGACATTGAAATGTAAGGTTTCCCGGCATCATGCGGCGCCTTATTTCTGAAAAATATGCCGCGTGCCAATTTTTATTGCTCCAGCCGTAAGTGCAGCTTGGAAAGCATTCTTCTATGCGCCGTGCTGTACGCCTCGGCCATAATGTGTTTCTGATCTATAAACCGTCGAGCGGTATTTCATGGAGTTCCTGAAAGCCACCGCAGACGTTCCAATTTATGTCAGGCAAGTGCGATGGAATTTCTCAATTCCACAGGCTGAATTGCCCTACAAACGGTCCGGCGATATACAGAACGTTGTATTGGCAGATACTTCGAAAGTGCGTCGTATGGTCTAGTAGAGAGGTCCTCAAACTTATTTTGTCTACTGCCCATTTTGAGACTCAATCATTTCTAGCGCCTACCGAAATTGTTCTAGCTATCCGTCTCGGGGATAGCTACAATTGGAAACCGAAACAAGCAGCTCAGGATATTAATTAAATAAAATAATAATTGACGCTAATAAGAATAATTGAAAATTTAATTCTTTGAAATGTTTTCAGGCTTTTTAATTCCAACAATAGCCGTGAAACCTAACACAGAAACTGAATACCAATGTTGGTGGACCTTTATTGTCGCTCGGAGATACTGCGAGAACTTTAGAGTTGACTTTTGACAGTGTCCTGTGTGTCAAGGAACATGTTCAATAGCTCTGAATAGATGCTGCTATGTTTTCAAGCAATTTTACTGGAAGAGACATATTATGGATTTTAAAACTAGGGAAAAACTATGTGAATCTGTCATGTTTTCTATTTATTTTCACTTATTATAATGCTATGATCAGATGCTGCCAATGAGACTAGGTTATAAGACTAAGAAAACAGTTGTTTTAGATTTAACTTCAAAAGCATTAACAATTTTCATTCCGTTTGCAACATCATATCTATGTGGAGTTGGATTTTCAGCTGTAGCTGTAATAAAGAATAAATACAGCTCAAGGGTCAACGTGGAGCAAGAAAAGAGAGTAGCCGTGTCAAGTCTTAGTCCCCGCTTCGAAAAACTGTGCGGAGATTACCAAGCTCACCCATCACATTGATTTGTCGGAGTAAATATGGTAGATTATTTTTGGTTTTCTCAAGTCTTTCTCGTTGTGTTCAGTTTCAATTCTTTTATAATAAAAAAGTAATTTAATATTGTAGATATACTTCGAAGTTGAGTCATTTATTTTAACAGTGAGTAGATCTGATCAAAAGAACTTTAACATTTTTGTGGTAAAATTAAAGTAACAAAGTTGTAGCCCTTTAGATGTTTGAGTACCGCC